TGTTAAATACTCTTTAGTAACAACACAATGGATCCTCCTGAATGCTGAATGTTAAGGGACAGATGTATTTTAAAGAGTAGACAAGGCTGTGATGTGCTTCAGTCCGATGTTTACAGCTTGTCTCTGATAGCAAGCTTGAACTGGCAGATTCCTCAAGCTTAGATTCTGTTCCTGCAATTTATCTTAAAACGGTTTTATTATCTTTTGATAAAATGGAAACGTTTACAGTGCATTTGCCTTTTCCTCAAGGACCTGAAGCTAGGCTTGAGATAAGGCTTGACTTAAGCCTTGTCTTAAAGTAGAGACTTCAGCCTTGCCCCCAAAAGCCACTACAGTTACATTTGTATTGAAGGTGTCAACTGGAGAGCAGTATTTTCTGCACACTAAGATTCCACTATTATTCTGAATATGACAATATTTTGTGCTTCAGTCAATGAGTTTACGATGCAATCTATCATCTTACTACCGATCCCCTGAACTTCCCATGATCCTCTTACCTCTGAATGTGACACTAGCCAGAGGGTCAGAGTGTCTCAGGTTGTTGGCTCGCTGCAGAACGCAACGTAACATGGCTGACACCTCGGCAGAGTCTCGAAAACCTGCGAGGCTCAAAGAACTTTGCAAAGATTTGCTTCTGTTGAGTGACGGGTGGTTCAGTTCACCAGGTGAGAGGGATCCAGGGCCGGATGTCACGGTGGCTTACATGTCCCCGGGAGCTTCAATAAAGATAATGACAACCGGGATCCAGGGCCAAAACTAACAAACCAAAGACCAAGTGGTGGAGAAAAAGTGTGAAAGAAAAGCTCTTCCTAGTGAAAAAAGAGAGAGAAATAAAAAAGATATCCACAGCTTGTTCTCCACTAAGTCAAATACAATTCTAGGGCTTTTCTAAAAGATTGTCAGTAACTTGAGTCCTTGTTTGACAAAATGAAAGTACCAGCCTCGCAAAAACATGGTGAAAAAAACAAATTATCCAAAGATTGTTTTCCAGCTACAACTACAAAATAAAAGCTCTTTTCCCCAAAGGATAGACGTGCCCTCACAAAGCTAGCGTCTTTCTCTTTGTGACTCTCTAACCCAGTCATGAAGTGAAAGAGGGACACAAGCACACACACCTCACATCCAGAGGAAATCTCAACATTTCCTGTTCTCTTTTCCTCTCTTGTCTCCTGGTTGTGTCCTTATCTTGCCCACATCTTTGCCAGTACATTCTCCACTATACCACCTCTGTCCTCGAATCCCTGTAATCTCTGTTTGTACAGGATTTACTTCAATCTGGTGCTTTCAGTAAACTGTCAAAGCCTCTCAAAACCGCCCCAAAATATCATGAATTTCTAATCCCATTCTTGTGGAGTCTATTTCAACTGCTGTACAACCGGCGTTGCAATTTATCTTTTAGATCAGGGAAGCAGGATTACACACTCAACCTGGACATCAAATTGAAGGGCTTTTCTTTTATGTATTGAAAATTTGGGGCTGAAAAAGGGACTTGGGTTGTGATAAGACATGACCTTAGTCAGAATGATCATTTAGGCCTGGTTGCCTCATTCAAGCAGACATCCAAAGTTTGTTCTTTACACTGATAGAGCTGTATTTCTAAATATCTGAAATGAAAATGACAATACGGGCCAATCTCTATGCCTAAACTTGTTTTCCTTGAATTTGAACATGTGTAATTATTTGAGGAGGGGTCAATAAGGCCACACAGTGCACACGGATGCATGAACAACAACACGTGCACAATGAGAGAGCGCCACCTGCAGACCGAACCAGAGCGCGCTCACACTCACACCGTCTGATCTGCACAGAACGGAGGTGAAAGTGTCTGAAACACACAAAAAACGTTACCTCTCTCTGATAAGAGTTTGTAAATGGTAACTAAAACACATACACATATATATATATATATATATATATATATATATATATATATATATACACGTATAAAGGGTGCATTAAATGATTGTGCTGTAACTCGTAGTTATCCCACGAAATCCACTTGAATCTGCATGAAACAGGAAGTATAAAGACCACAAAAAGCCCCACAGTGTGGGTGGAAGTGTACAACAGAAACCAGTCTCACATCCAGGTGACTGCTGTCCGTGCACCGTGGGAAACAAGAAGACAGCGACAGGCATGATGAGGCAATGTCAGGATTGATGTTTGAGTGAGAGTAAAGGAAGCAAACTGCATTTAGAGACAAGAAAACAATAAACAACTTCTCCTTTAAATGTAATGAGCTCTGAATGGCAGAAATGATGCAGCAGTTTTAAAGAGCAGACTCAGCGTTGAGGTTGAAACTGATTAGATCTCAGATATCAGCCAGAGAAGAGAGGCTGCAGATAGTATTCATCTGCCCTGTGATGCTTTTCACACTGCTGGATACTCGTGTTTTCAGCCTGGAAGTTTCTCGATATGTTGCCGTTATTTCAATCAGAGTCGAGCAGTAAAGAGTGAAAGGAAACATGGAGAGAAAGAGAGGAGTCGACATGTAATAAAGGTAGCTGGATTTGAAGTTTTTCCAAATTAAGCAAATTTCTAATAGGTAGAGTATGTAAGCTTCAGCCTGGTGAATAGAGCTTCAATGAGAGACTTATTTGAGGGATAATCCAAGAAAAGATGTGCAGTTATTGAAATATAAAACACAACGCAGAGGCGAATTACGCTGCAAATTACGGGTGTATTATGATCATAACCGTACAGGATGGAGTACATTATTCTAATTACACCATGGCTATTAGTCCAGCCAATGTCGTTTGATCCTCATCACTCTGAGCTGCTTTGTTTATGCATATTTTGGGACGAAAGAGAAGTGCCAATATCTCAGGATAAATCATGATAATAGAAATACTTTCTTCTCATTTGCTGTCTGTTGTCAGTTAAAATCATGTATGAGGGTAAATAAACAGGTAAATATAAATACAAACATATAATATACGTGTTAGGCATTAATGCATTACTGTAATATTATTACTTTCCCCAGTAAAGAGCAGTGTAAGGGATTACAATTTCCAAAACTGTTATTACATAACTAAGAAGTAATACAACAATACAACTGAACCAGCTAAAGTAACTAATTACTTTTGATACCAAGTAAAACATAAAGTACCAAGTAATAATCATATCATTACTTTTTAAAGGAGTAATAATTTAAAAGTAACTTAAGTAACTTGCCCAACACTGATAATATTAATAATTATAATAATAATATATAAATTAGTGTACAATGTATGAAAACTGACGATTTAGCCTTGGCAACATTTATTACTTTGTGCTACGTTACCAGTTAATAAAGAGATAAGAAAACTGACGACCAACAAACTACGTTACCATACTTACATATTCAGTTATATCAGTTTAGCTATTCATAAAATGTACTGATTCACTTTGTTCCATCCCAAACGTTTGTGTGTGTGTGTGTGTCTCTGTAGACACACTGCAGGCACTGCCCTATATTACACAGGGAAACTTTTGTGCAGCAAAATAGACAGTGTCATGAGTTCATGACACACTTGCTGTTGGTTAGAAATCTCAACTCTTCTTCACACACATTCTGCACTCTACTGTAGTACTCTACTGTTATACTCTACTGTTATACTCTACCGTTGTACTCTACCGTCGTACTCTACCGTCGTACTCTACTGTAGTCTAACTGGTATACAGCAAGAGAAAGAGTAAAATTAAAGAGAGATAAAATAGTGAAAGAAAGGGAGATAAACATAAAGACAGACTAAAAGTTCACTGGAACAACTAACTGACTCACGTGTGGTAGTCACATACAAAGTCACATAAACGATGACCACACACTCTTCACCTGAACCTTAAGTGGTTTTGTTGTCTGAATCCAACTTCCTGTAAAAGACGCTTTGCATGTAATGAGCGTATATTGACACACACCGTCACTGAGAAGTGCAAAAGTTAAGCTAGAGGGGAAAGTGGAAGGTCGTAGTTTAAACCAAAGTATTGAACAAATAAAAACTTTGACCAGCTGGTGGATTGACCAACACTGACAGTCGAAGAGCTGCGCTGCTATACATCTCCCAACCCTGGCTATTGATAACAAAGAGCATGAGAGACGGAGCGCCACAGAGGATGAACTTCTGTTGAAAGAATGGAGTTAAATATAAACACAGCCATGATTAACATGGAGACGCACACACATCTCCTCATAACACTTTGTGTATTATCTCTGTCACTGCACCTAATGAATTGTCGTGGAGTAGAAAATGGCGTAAAAGGAAAATACTCAAGTACCTAAAATGTACTTAGTTTCACCCCATCGTCACATCTTTCCACCCCTCTTTCTTCTTCTTCTTCTTCTTCTTCTTCTATCCTTGTCTCTCTGCGCCTCACCCCTAAACAGGCTGGAAGCAATGAAAGACGACCGGTGGACACTTTCCCATTATAACCTCAGCTGTTAGAGAGCGGAGGTGTGGTTGAGTGGTTAGATCAATACTGTGCCATCCCTATCTTAAGCATTGCACACTCTATGTACTTGAAATTTATCCTTTCCCTCTTGACCTCAGTCTCAAACACACCATCCCTACCTTCATAGGTGACGGTGCAGTAGGAGTCGCTGACGTCGTCGTCCGGCGTTTGCAGACGCTCTGCACACAGTATAAACACACGCAGCATGCCTCACACACACACACACACACTCAGTAGAGTTCTGTCAAATGCCCCAGACAGACACAGTGAGGTCCATATAAGGGCGTCAGTATATCCAGAAAATATCGTCCAAATGAGAGAGAGAGAGATGGGAAAGCAGACGAGAGACACATAGACGAAGAAGGGACTGAGAGACCAGAGCTGTAGCTCTCAGCTGTCTCTCTCTCTCTCTCTCTCTCTCTCTCTCTCTAGCTGACTCATACTCATGCACACACACACACACACACACACACACACACACACACACACACACAC